TGAGGTTCTTACCCACGAAAGCTTATGCTCCCAATACTTCTGTTAGTCTCAAAGGTGCCACAGGACCCTCTGTTACATCTCTACCTTGTTCACGTTTCAGTTTAAGCCTGTGTACACCTAACATTGAGTTAGTGACATTCCTTTCCGTTGTCACACTTCTGATATTATTACTATGTACTTTTTGAAGTTATCTTGGAAATCTTTCTTTCTGTTTTTATTATTGATACTCTTGCTTGTGTTGTATTGCTGCTCTGGGCATGTCACCTTGGTACAAATGAAAATGTTTTTCAAATCCATATACTCTAAAGCAATGAGGATAGTTCAGCATACTCTTTCTTAGGCTTCAAAATATTTGAGAGAGAAAGTCCTTTTTCCAATTGTAACAAGTTTTGTTACGACAACAAGAAAGTCTGACTGCTAAATTTGACAACTGATAAAATTGTGTCAAAAGTTGCTATATTAATTAAAGTCAATGTAAATTTGTTACAAAATGTTTCAGTAGCCTTTCCTTTCCTCAGGCGAGAAGAACTTGATGTGAAACAAGCATTGGATTCCAAGCAAAGACAGCTGAAGGAGCTGACAGACAGTAAAACAAATAGATTGAAAAGATTTGGACAACATGTGCCAGTCCTTCTTGAAGAAATTGAAGATGCCTATAGAAAAGGACATTTTAAACACAAACCTATTGGACCTTTAGGTAAGATAGCCCTTGCATAAAGGAACGTAAAAAGTTTGCCTTTATAGAGTCCCACTGTACACTTGGTCATGTGAACACGGAGCCTTTTTGAAAAGTATTTGTCACTTAAGGGGCATGATGTCCAATTCTCTTAAGGTCTGAATTTCCTAGACTAAATATGTTAGACTATACAAAGCACACGGGATTTTTTATGGAGGAAAAGGCAAATACGCCGCATTTGTTGAAAATACAACAGTTAGCATATGCTGTTCAGTCACACACACTCTCTCACTCACGCCAGTTGATGTTTATAGTTACCAGTCTGTTGTAGCTCGAGTCAATCTAATGGCCAGTTAGATTGAGCATGAGTGTGGAGCTGGGCTCTTGTCGGTCGCGATCTGATGCTCCGAGGCTTTGCAGGACTGAACCCAGAGTTCCATGGCAAAACACCCCAGCTTTATAGTTGTAAATTCCCATTTGAGTCCATGCAGGGAAGGAGGTTGGGGTGTGGAGTGCAGGAGGGGGGTCAGGGCAGGGGTGCGGACTGCGGGAGGGGGGTCAGGGCAGGGGTTGGGATGTGGCAGGGGGTTCAGGACAGGGGGTTGGGGTGCACAGGGGTGTAGGGTGAAGCAGGGAGCTCAGAGCAGGTGTACGAGGGGGCTTAGGGCAGGGAGTTGGGGGGTAGGAGGGGTTCGGGCTCTGGCCTGGTGCCGCTTACCTAAAGCGGCTTCGGGATGGCAGTGGCGTGCACCGGGGCCAGGGAAGGCTCCCTGTATGCCTGCCCTGTCCCCAGCCCCGTGCTGCTCCAGGAAGCGCTGCGGCCCCTGAGGGAGGGGGGGTAGAGGGCTCCGCATGCACTGCCCTTGCCACGCCTCCAGGTACCTCCTCCGAAGCGCCTATTGGCTGCAGTTCCCCGTTCCCGGCCAATGGGAGCTGCGGGGGGCAGTGCCTGGAGGCAAGGGCAACACACGGAGTCCTCTGCCCCCCTGCCCGGGGGCTGCAGGGACATTGTGCCAGCCGCTTCTGAGAGCAGTGCGGGGCTCGCAGCGCCACGGGGGGCAATCCTGCGGGCCGGATCCAAAGCCCTGAGGGGCCAGATCCGGCCTGCAGGCTGTAGTTTGCCCACCCCTGTGCTAAGGGATGTGTCTGACCAAACCGTGTGCTCTTCTGTACCTATCAGCCTTCTCCAGCCTTAAATTAAAAATTCTTCTAAGATCTTTTTAATTTTACATGCCAGCAATCTGATTTCCTTTTTGGTGCAGGTGGAGCCCATCCTTCCTGTATAGGCTCCTCCTTTCCTAAAAGGTTTCCCATTTCCTAATAAACCTAAATCCCTCCTCCAAACGCCATAATCTTTTCTACACATTGAGACCTTGTAGTTTTGCCTGTCTGGCCCTGCTCATGGAACTGGAAGCATTTCAAAGAATGCTACCTTGGAGATTCATGGATTTAGCCATGAACTGCTTCCAGAGATTTCAGGGGAAAGGACCTACCCATTGTGAGGGTATGCTTCTCAAAGTGTTTGTGAGAAGAGAAATTTGCATGTAAGAGAACAAATTATCTATTTGTATTTACATTATTGCTTAGAAAATCTAACCTGAGCTTAAAAAAAATTAAATATATGTTCTCAAATGTTTTTTTAAAACTAAAACAAAGAATAATGTAGTTACATTTTCATTGCACTTACATATTCAAATATATTTGACACTGTGCCTCTGAAGTCTTGACTTTTTTGTTTATATTTAGGTGCTTTCATTAGTCTCAAAGATGCTGAACTTACTTTGGCTGTTGAAACTTGTTTAAAAGCCCTACTGCAGGCATTTTGTTGTGATAATCATCATGATGAGAGAACACTTCAGACACTGATGTCAAAGTTTTATACATCTGGATATCGGCCCCAAATAATTGTCAGTAGGTTTCGAAATGAAGTGTATGATGTCAGACCCAGGTGAGTTCCAAGTTTTGAATAAAATTGCTTCTTCAGAATCTTGATCCAAATGGCTTAATAGTAACTCCAATATACAGTGCATTTTTTAATGTAGGTCATGTGAATTTTTAAAGCGGTTTGCACTGTTTAAATATGTACATTTTAGTTTTGTTTCTTTTCTCATAGGGCCGTTCACCATCCAGAATTCCCATCAGTCCTTACAGCTTTAGAAATAGATAATGCAGTGGTTGCTAATTGTTTGATTGACATGAGGAATATAGAAACAATCCTACTAATTAAGGTAGGACATAACTGCCATATTTGTTTTTGCTATAAGTTTTAATAGGAATTTATATGCTATTGAGGCTTTTTGTAATTAAAAAAAGGCAACCTGGTTGCTTCTTGCTGCCCCAAGATACCTATGGAAACAAGGCATTCTTCTTTGAATGGTTGCAGATGTGTATTCTACTCAGTACACACATGTGCACACAGCCAGTGCACTGAAGCCAGAGAGCTTTTCCTAGCAGCACCCATAGGAGTGGTGCTCCTGCTCTCTGGCCCTAAGACCTTTCCATGGCTATATAAAGGCAACACAGCCCCAATCCTGCTTACATCCTTCATGTTGGAGTCAGAGCTTCCCATGTGTTTTTTTTCATCATGGATTTTTGACATCAGTTATTTGTAAATAATTAGTAGTACCCTGTAATTAGTGGTTAGTTCGTTAGCTTTCATTTGTGTTAGTGTTATATAGTGCTATGCCCTCACCAGGGTTTGAGAACTGTCCTTCATGTGAGGTGGCTGTTCCCAATAACGACCCTCATATGTGCTGTTAGTTGTGCCGAGGAGAGGGGCACATTAAAGAGAAGTTCTTCATTTGCCACTCCTTTAAAAATAAGACTCAAGTGGACCAAGATTTGTGCTTAAAACAGCACCTCACTTAATAGGATAAAAAGGGGGTCCTGGATAACCCCCATCCAAGAATATTAACGGAACTGGCACATGAAACTGCAAGGCCAAAGGGGGGAAAAGAGTGATCCAGGAAACTACAGACCCCTTAGTTTGACCTAAATTGTATGCACGGTCTTAGAACAAATTTTGAAAGATTAATTAGTTAAGGACATAGAGGTAAAAGGTAATTAGGATAAAATACAACATGATTTTAAAAAAGGTAGATCATGCTAGATCAACTTAATCTTTCTTTGAGAAGATAACTGATTTTCTAGAAAAAGGAAATGCAGTAGATCTAATCTATTTGGATTTTAGGAAAGCATTTATTACAATTCCACATGGGAAATTATTAGTTAAATTGGAGATGATGTGGATTACTATGAGAATTGAAAAGTGGGTAAGGAACTGGTTAAATGAGGGACTACAGCGGGTCATACAAAAGGTGAATTGTCAGGCAGATGGAAGGTTACTAATGAAGTTTCCCATGGATGGGTCTTGGGACCAGTCTTATTTAAAAATTTCATTTATAACGTTGGCACAAAAAATGGGAGTATGCTAATAAAATTTGCGGATGATGTAGAGTTTGCGTGGTATTGCCAATACAGAAGAGGACTGGAATATCGCACAAGAAAATTTAGATGAACTTTGAAATTGGAGTAATAGAAATGGGATGAAATGTAACAGTGCAATATGCAAGGTTAATGGTTTACTTAAAAGAATTTTTGATATAAAATTGGGACTTAGCAGTTGTAAGCGAAAGGACAAGAAAGATCTGCGTGCATTGATCGATCTCAGGATGACTATGAGCTGCCAGTGTGATGCAGCTGTGAAAAAGGCTAGCACAGTCCTAGGATGCATCCTGTGAGGTATTTCCAGTAAAGATAGGGAAGTGATGTTTTCCATTGTAGAAGACACTGGGAGATCACATCTGGAATACTGTGTTCAAGAAAGATGAATTCAAACTGGAACAAATGCAGAGAAGGGCTAGTAGGATGATGAGAGGAATGGAGAATCTACCTTATGAAGGAGACTTAAAGAGCTTGGCTTGTTTAACCTAATAAAATGAAGGCTGTAGGGAGATATGATTGCTCTCTATAAATATATCAGAGGGATAAACATCCCAGAGAGATTGGAGTTAAGGGCCAATGTTGGCACAAGAACAAATGGATATGAACTGGCCATCAACAAATTTAGGCTTGAAATTAGACAAAGGTTTCTAACTGTCAGAGGACTGAAGTTCTAGAACAGCCTTCTGAGGGGAATAGTATAGGCAAAAAAACCTAACTGGCTTCAAGACTGACCATGATAAGTTTATGGAGGGGATATATGATGAGGTTGCCTACAGTGATGTAGGGCCCATTTGTGCCCTCTATTAACAAATATCTCCAATGGCTGGAGATGGGACACTAGTGGGGAGCGGTATGAGTTACTACAGAGAATTTTTTCCAAGTGGTTCTCACCCACATGGTCATGGTCTAACTGATTACCATTTTTGGGGTCAGGAAGGAATTTCCCCCAGGTCATATTGGCGAGACCCTAGAGGTTTTTTGCCTTCTGCTGCTGCATGGGATATGGGTCACTTGCTGGTTTGAACTAGAGTAAATCATGTATTCTCTGTAATGGAAAGTTCTTAAATCAAGACTCAGCAAGAGGTTATGGGACTATTACAGGAGTGGATGGTTGAGTTTCTGTGGCCTGCAGTAGCGCAGGAAGTCAGACTACGTGATTCGGATAATCCCTTCTGCCCTTAAAGTCTATATCTAATATTAAGGACACAGCAGAGAACATCTACAGTTGGAAATTTAACCTGTTACTGATAGTAGTTGATGACAGTAGGTCCACCTGAACCAGAGCTGAAAACTGTTTAACTGCCTTTGTCTGTTGGTCAAAGCTATTTTCAGCACCCTCAGAAAGCTGTGTTTCAAAAAGGTTTTCTTTAAACGAGTTAAATAATTTTGTTCCAGTTTTGTTAGCAGTTAAACAGTTCTTGTCACTGGTTCAAAGCAGGGTGGATTTGATTTGAATCAAATTGATTTAAATCACTAATCAGGAAGACTCAATTTAATCATGGATTTCTACATAAAAGTGCATTCTTGTTGGTTGTTATAACCTTAATACATATTCTTCACAACTCAGAGATATGAGACCCAAATTGGGTCTCTTTTACGGCCTGCTGCCATTATAGGTTTTCCCTTCTAGTGTGAGAATGGTATGGTAGATCTCAAGTTAATGAAAACTACACTCAGAAAGACCTCAAGACTTCTGGAATATGCTGCTCAAACAGTTTCACTTTTGTTTCTACTGCTTGTCCCTCCCTTCTCACATTTATCTCCAGACTTCTTTTCCTTGTCCAGATCTATTCCGCCCCCAACAATCTTCTATTCATTGAACTTTTTGAAATTTTGCACTTTTAGAGAGAGGTAAGGGATTGAGTTTGTGTACACAAATTTGCAGAGGGATAATAGAGTTGAGGTCTGTTATTTCTCACCTCTATACATAATTTATTTTATTTTTTTTTTTTTTTTTTTTTTTTTTTTTTTTT